CTTTGCAAATGAAGACAATCAATTCAGTATTTCTTGTGTGAGAACATTGGATTACCGCAAAAACAGTAAAGATTATTTGGAGTATGTGTTGTGTTTTAGAAAAAGCCTAACCTGGAGATATCGACTCAAGAAGTTGTCTAAACAATATAATAAAGACTGCATCTACTCAAAGATTTGAATTTTCAGTGTACATCTACCTATCCTGTTAATATCTTTATGTACGCTCGGAAAGTTGATCCTTGGTTCGAACTGTTTCTACAGATCCCATGTTATACTTTTATGGAATGCTAGATCAGGGATGGGGATTGAGCGTAACATAGCTGCTCTTCATGACGAAAGGAATGCTGTATCAACCTGAAATTTCTCCTAAGAATAGATCTCTATGGTTTCTATCCAGAAAGAAAATTTCATAGCTCTATTTTGAGTTTGTCATATGATATAAATCCTCAAGCTTGTTGAAAATCGTCACTTTTGCTTGTGTTTTTGAAATTCAAAGCATAACAATGATTTAACTGATCAAGCTGAACCCTCATTCAAGGTAAGAATTGTAAATGTATAGATATGCAAACAATTCAGTTCGATCAATCAAGTTGTTTGTGAGATATTCTATCGACACCGGACTCTTTTCTTCGATCACGTGCTTTTAGGGTGTGAATGTGGGTGTACTGGTGTAGGTATGGGTAATGGCATTGGACTCGGTCATTATTCGCTTCTATCCACACCCACCCTATACATAAATATATCAAGAACACAAATACGTATATATATATTTCGTTTGCCTATACTTGACTTTAAAAAAAAACATGAAATAAACTAATATAGTAAAATCAAATAATACAGGATTGGAAATAATATTATTCAAGGTGGGTACTGCAGCAATTTTAAATAGAAAATATCATGAATTTTATACCACATGAAAACCTGTGAAAATGGGGTTTACTGGTATTAAATAGTAAAAGTTTTGAGAATTTTCATTTATTAAACCTTCAAAAATGATGACTTTTTACTGACATAAAGTATGAGAAAAACTGTTTATCAGATAATGTTCGAACTAAATATGTTACAAAATGGCTTACTGTTTCATTATTTAATGAGTACAATCAATAATTAGTATGGCGACGATTAGCATTCTTTACTGCACGAAGCTGAGTTGGATACGAACACAATAGAGTTTCAAATAACTCAGTATCTGTTTTCATGTTAGTTGAAACAGTAGGAATGTGCATTTTGAGTGTGTCTTCAAGATATTGATTATATTCAGTTTCTGATAACATTTTTTTTTAACTTCATCCTTGATTATTGATCCAATATGTTCTGCCACATATCATTACTCCAAAACTTGATGTTACTGTCTTGAATCAAATGTTGGATTCTATTTGCTCGCATACATGTTGCCTTATCACGAACAAATATATCTTCATCAGGATCAATAACATTTTCTTCATTGTTTAAGAAAGGGAATGCGTTTTAAGTCAAAATTATACCACAAAAGTATTGACTGGTCCAAGATTCACTATTATCTTTGATAATCTAAAGTAATCTTTTGCAAGTAAACAGGAGTGGATGTGAGTGTGGACGAAGTAACATCCACATCCTCAAGATAGTTTTCTACGAATGTTTCTTGATAAGTCTTTTGAGAAATTTCTGATAATGTATGGGTGTTAGAAAAATGAGCAGGACAAAGAAAAAGATTGCCATCTGTTTGTTACAGCTATTTGGAAGATGTTACAAAATAAAAAAAATAAATAATCACAATCAACTTACAGATCTTTTGTATTTTCAATGTTTTATAAAGAAAGTTTCTTAATCAAATTTAGAATTTCAAACGGTTAATAAAAGATATACTTCACTGATGGATGATGAAATAATTCGAAAATTTTATGATAATGATAGAAATACTCGAGTATTATGTCTCAACGAGTGAAAGAAAATTTATAGTTCTAATAATAAATATAACTCCTAGTTGAATCACCTTTTTATATACCGTTTATTAAAAAAACTCAATAAGATCATTGTCGGTTCTTGATATGAATGATGTGTAAGATATAAGCAAAGTCAAATGAGAAAAATGTAGAAGATTTTGGCTAACTTAATATTTAGTTTTAATTCATCGTGATTAATTGTTGAAAACAAATAGGTTATATCGACAAAGAGTACAATAAGATATATTTTCGTTGAACATCATTGCCACTTATAAACAAATTCGATCTATGGAAAATGAGACATGTGAAAACGCAATGTTTAAAAATTTATCTTAAAATAAATCGAGATTATGTATTCTAGAGATGGACGAGGTAACAAATAGTTGCCCAGTCAACATTGCTTAGTTTAAGACTCATCATATTACTTCATCTCCCTACGCACATAAAAAATTATTTTCGAAGACCTTCTTATCGTAAATATTCAGTCAATCACTATTGTGACTACTCTGCGTCATGAAGTTAGAAGATATAATCGAGATAAATATAGACGATTTCGAAATAGAAAATCAGACAAACATTGCCGTAAAAATCAATGTCAATCATATACCTGTTTTGGGCTGAGCATGAAAACAAAGAATTATTCATTCGTACAGGACTCAGCTTAGTACATCCTTATTTAAGCAATATTTGACTAATCGTATTAAGGAAAAATGTTGATGATAATGTAAATGATGAGCTATCATAGTTATGTATATTTGCTTGATCTATACTATTACAGGTGAAAAACTATGTCATCAAGCATTCTTGGCATCAAACAAAAATATTGACTTTTCTTCAATAAATGTCCATTGAGATCAACAACATACATAAAAATTCAGCAATATCAATTCAACACGACTCTCTCATAAATATTATTTTATATACAATTGTCTGAAAAGTTCGCATAGTTGATATTCTATAATATCGTATAAAAATAAATGCTACATTTATTTCATGTGTCTAATGATATAAGCAGTTTGCATGGCCGTTGACAATATGCGGCTGCTAGCGAAGATTATTACATAGATTTTCTGAACGACTCTATAGAATAAAATGGTCTTTGGCAAACATTTACAATGCAAAAGTAACCGAATCCAGTATTATCTAGGAATTAAAATTTAACTTTTCTTTGGTGGTGTGAATAGAGATGTACATTATATGTTGAACAGGAGTTAACAAAATCTTTTTAAATCAGGTTACAGGGCATGAGAGGAATTACCTAGAATATCTTTAAGTAAAAGAATTCTCGGGATAAGAAGTTGATTATTACAGAAAAAATGAAAAGATTTTCAAGAGTATAGATAATGTGGAAAATGCTGAATGTATCGTTCGTTCTTAACTAGCGTCACTGCAACGAAAACATGTAAATATTAATAATAATTATAATAATCGTTGAAATCACTACGCTCTGGATCTTGCCCTGGTTTTTTGTGATTTCTGCACACTTTCGTTACTTGTCGCTATCACTTGCTCTTTTATTCTAACAACACTAATCTTGTATACATACAATGTTATACACCACTGTGTATATCACTCACACGTGTATATATCGTTGTTTAATCTTACTCTCACCATTCGCTATCATCAACTGAATATATTCTTCATTCTTCTCTTTTACTCTTTCACCTTAACCTTCTCATGAAAAGAGAACAATGTGAATATATACAGGATGTAATACAACGATTGCACAAGCGTTGACAAAGGACAATGTGAAACAGAACAATTACAATGGTAATGAAGAAGTGTTGAACACTATGAGCAGTACTATGTATAGATATGAGGATGACATTATACTACAATGATATAGAATAAGAATGATACAGTTCAAGGATTACAAGTGATATAATGTAAAGATAGTGTGAAATAAGAGTAATATAACGTAAGGATGATATCACATACATGTGATAGTGTATACAATGTAAGGATGATATAAAATAAAAGAGATGTTATGTAAGAATGATATACAATACAAATGATAAAATATTATATCGGTGCATCTCTTGGCACAGTCACTACTTATGAATAGGAAGAGATGCAAACTTATATGATACTGTCATACAATTTCTGAAAACCAATCATTATGAAAGATAGTCGATATTTTTCTAGTTAAAGAGTACTATTCCTGCAAAAATAAACTTTTTGGTGAAAATGAGTCAGCCAAACGATGATAGAAGCAAAAAGAAAATTGTATGTTATTCGAAGAAGATCCGCATGTAGGTGACCTATTTGAATCAGTATAGACCCTCGATAATCAAACTATTAGAGTAACTTGCCTTAAACATTTTTTTAAAAGATCACTATTGATCCTGAATGCAACTGAGAAAAACAAACCTTCTGTTATTCTGTAAAAACTTTGAGCATTCTATGAATAAAACATAGAATCGTATCAAAATGAAATTTTTATCAATCGATTCGGTTCTGATCTACATGATTCTAAGGAATTTAATTACTCCATATCACAAAAGAAAATGGCTCCTATTTATCGTCATGTCTAGTAATTTTTCTGGATTAACGTTGAATGCTTTCAATTTGTTTGCAGAATTTTCAATTGGAAAATCTTTTGAGAAAATAATATATAATTATTTGAGCAAATATTTTCAGAACTGTTAATCATGTGTAACTGAGATTGAAACAAATACTCACGCCAAAGATACAAGAGAAAAAACTATCATGCGCTCAATTTTGTCTCAAGCCTGTGATACATTACAGAAAGAAGCAAAAGATATTATTATAAGAGCATGAAATGTAATTACAAAGAGCGACACTGTTGTATTTACACGCTATACGCTAATGAGAGAACGAATAATGACTTAACCTTTGTTTTTCATTCGACGTGGCAGCCATTCATTAGACGACATTGTTTAAGTATTGGAAAGAGAAAGCAACGAACGAACACGATTGAAGTAGACAGTATACAGCAGGTAGACGAAATACTTACTGCACATGGATTCCATGACTTTTCTACTCCTTTTCATTTTGTCTTTTGCTACTGATACATGTAATGGTGACACGTATTCATTCGTACGATTCTACGAAAATATGGCTGAAGTTAGTCAACCTCTTGGGACTCTACCTCTCGAGTTCACAAATAATCAGTGGAACTATATTCGATCCGATTCTATTGCATTGTTAGGTTCTCATGTTAATGTTACCTCAATGACAATTACTGAAAAGAGGAAATCACTTGATGGTGCTCAGATCTATGTTCGTTCTCCAATTTCATCCGATGGAAATGAAAGTAAATTTGTTAAAGGAATACTTCTCAACGAGAGCAGTAATACGATTAAAATACAAGATGAGTCAATTAGTGACAAAGATCTTTTCCTCAATAACGCACCAACTAATCATATTCTTTATCTTGAAGAATTACCTAAGACTAAGTTTTATGTCAACTTTACATATGATGCATTACATGACGAGATATTATATGTAAGTTACCTTCGATATGATCTTAATTGGATAACACGCTATGAACTTAATTTGTATGATGATACCAGTGTACTTACTGCTATAGCTAAAATTAGGAATGATGGTGAATTGGCAGTATCAATTGGAAGGGCTGAAATTATCGGTGGAGACATCAATTTGAAGATACCCATATCTGTACGACAAACACTATCGAATCATGCTGAGGCACCTGAAAATTTGAAGTCACCGAGTACGAGAACCTCACTCCTCATGGCAGCAAAACTACTCACTGTCGAGCAAGGTGAAGAATCATATGGTGTTTATGTGTTCAATATTGACAAGCCATTTTCGATTGATGCCAAGACTACGTTTCTCTTACCCATGTTTCGTGCTCAGGTCACTGTCGAACGATTTGCGTTGATCTCAAAGCATTTCTCAACTTCGTTGAGTACTAACAAAGCTCAACGTTCATATAGAATTACACCCGATCGATTTCTTACGCGTGGCAAGTGAGTACCTACTTTTAAAATACGAAATATATATCATTGTCTTCATTCGTTCTTAGTTGTATCTTGCGAGAATTGAATCGACTTGTTGGTGAAACCTTACTACCCAATTTAGCTGCGAATGCCAGATATGAGTTTTCAGTTGGTGAAGATGCTGATATTGTTTATAAAGAAAATTTGACCTTAGTCTCATCGACACCTCACCTTGAAGAAGAAATAGTGGAACATTGGAACCCTGATCATGATTATGGATCTTCGCAAGTAAGAGAGAACCAACTCACTCGATCATTATATACCGTAAATTTACAAGTGACCAACTTCAAAAATAGACCAATCACTCTTGAATATGTAAACAAAATCAACTACTATAATGGAAAAGTAACATTAGAAACACCTAACAAATATGGTTTCATTCAAGATGATTCATCGATCAAATGTAACATAACGCTGATTGAGCAGGACAGTAAAATTTATTCGTATAATGTTGAACTACTTCATTAGAACAAAAACATATATGCTCGTGATTCGTCTTTGTTAATCAAGTTGTATTGTTATTTTCAAAAATTAGAATTTATTAATATATATTCTAGTATATCATTTCCATATATTCAACATGCACAGTATAGAATAGAATACAACTAGTGAGAACTCGTGCATATTATACACGGTGGTTTCTTTTATCATAGAAAGCAAGTTTGCCGTGAAAATGAGGAGATTCTCGACGATATATTAAAATTCTCATTTGTGTTCTATTAATACAGTTTATTTTCATAGTTTTTATTTTAATTACAAACGACAAATTTACAAGATTTTGAAAATAATGTTTTTAGTTTTATTTTTTCTTCTTCAAGGACTTGCACTTTGACGAATGGTTTAGAACGAACTCTTGAAAAAGCACCGTATAGTTGTCCAGAGCTTAATACTAATCGTGGAAGAAGTAGTTTTAATAGATCAAATGGGTGTGGGTGTGGGTGTATGTAAACAGGGTAATAACATCGAAACC